TCTCCAACATGCATGTAGGTAAAGGATGTTGCTAAATCAGTGAGAGTTCAAAGAATAGCCATAAGAATATTTAAAGAATCAGAAAACCTGCTTCATAGTGATAAACTAAATAGATTGAGCTCCTGGAGTCTGACAAACAGAAGGTTAAGGGATAACTTGATTACAATCTGTATATATCTATCTATCCATGAAGAAAACAAATATTTAATAACGGGCTCTTCCATCTAGCAGAGAAAGGTATAAACACAGTCCAGTGCTTGAAAGTTGATGCTAGACAAATTCCAACTGGAACTAAAGTGTAAATTTTTAACGAGAGAGTAATTAACCATGGGAATATCCAAATTTACCCAGGGTCATGGCTGATTCGCCATCACTGACAATTTTAAAATCATGATTGGATGTTTTTCTAAAATACACACTCTAGGAATTATTTTGAGGAAGTTCTATGGCCTGTGTTATATAGGACATCAAACTAGATGATCACAATGACTCCTTTTGGACTTGGAATCGATACAACTACTTAAAAACACTGAACACAAAATGAAGCACTTGAAAAGTATTTCAATTACAGGATAACAGAGTAACAGGTTCCAACAGCTGGGACTCTATGGAATAAAAAGAATTCTAACCATACCACTTGAATCCTATGCATCTAACAAATATATGTATCTATTACACAATGTAGACTCCCTTCTTCAAAAGATATTTATCACAAACTCTCCTGTGACCATTACTATGTTTACATTACAAGGGAAAATATAGGTCATTACATTGGTACTAGTTCTTAGTCAAACAAGTCCAGCAGTCAAATGTTTAAAAATGACTCCTTTTCCTTTAAAGTACCGAGGCAAATGGAGTTATCAGGCAGTAAACCAGAAGTCCTGTCTTTGGGGTCAGGAGCATTGTAGGCTGCATGCCCCTGTCCTCAGACTGCTTTAAACACATACCAGCAAGGATGTTTCTCCTCAGTACAGCACAGCAATTTTATTTGCTGACGTAGTGATGCTCTTTTTCTAGCTCTTTTAATTGCCAGGATTTGAATGACTGTTTTCCCCTTTCTCTGCTGCACTGGGGCATCTTTAATTATAAAGACAGCAAAGATGGCTTCCTCTTGAAAGGTCAGTACCCTTGTTCTAGCTCCAACCAGCAAGCCAGGCAGATGTCCATCACATTGAGTTCAAGGGATGCAAGCTATATATTTATCCATCTCAAAATTATGATTATGACCTACAGCTGGCATTGGGGATCAATCTGTCTTATTTGCTTCACAAGGAAAGAAAATATACTCCTGGTCTATGACAATAAGGACAAAAGTAAAAGGGAAGCTTATCCACCAAATCTGCCTGATACAAACACAAGTATCCAAGAAAAAGCGTATATCCCACCACTCATCTCATTTTCATTTCTCTGCAGAGCAGGGAGGATTCTGATATGTAAAGTGAGATGAAGAAACAAGAATGTTGCCTTCCTGCAGATTTGCTGAAGACCATGGCTTGCTGGGGAATCACAGCACTTGGAATTTAAATTGAGAGGATGTCAAAATAGTAGCAGGGAAATATTTTCCTCAAGTTTCTACCACGGTACTGAACATGGCCCTTATTGTAACAATTGAAATCATCATCATTGCCAAGTGGGAGCTGCTCTTCAGAAGTGGACAGATCAGTAGGTAACATACCAGCTTCATATTTTAGAAGGATGAAGCCACATACATCATGGTGCTAAGGTGGGTACTGCCATATCTGTCCATGTTAAAGACACATTGATACCAAAGGAATGAGATTTCCTAAGTACGGTGACTAACACAATGTCCAAACCAACTCTCTGGCATGACTACAAAGTGGTCTCATTATCACTTTAAGTTTTGTATGCCTCTACCCACTTCTCAAGTGAAAGCATTGTGTATGGAGTAGGGATGTTAAAATTAGGTTAAATAGGAAAGTTACATGCTGCGAGGCCACCAGCCCTTACCAACCCAGCTCCCTGAAAGCCTGAGTGTAACCAACACCATTAACTGATAAGCATCATCTTATCGGTTAACCAGTTACTCTGTTACAATCCAACATCTCTAGTCTGGAGATCAAGGAATTAGTTCCCAAGTTCAGGATGAATAACTCATTACTGACAAAAAATATCCTTAGTTTCCATATTCACCACTAATGAATCCATGGACAACCTATGCTTTTCAATTGACTCAGTGGTAGCAAAATGCAATGGCATGCAAGTATTTTGGACTCAGCACGTAGAGGCCAGTGTTATATAGGCCAGATGAGACAGATTGTCTAGTGAGAAGAACTAAAGGAAGGTGGGTTCAGTAATACTCGATGTCATTAACTCAAATTCCTAACACTCATGTGCTCCATCTACTGTCCATTGATAAGGACCCACTGTGCACACACACACGCACAGCCCAGCAGTTGTACAAGTTCTTACACACCATCTATTGAAAACAATAAGCTCCAAAGCCTTACATAAATCAGACTTTCAAGATTACCTTTTCAGCAGCTAAAATAATGTTACAATCAAGCAATTTCTCCAATAGTAGAACTATGCTTTTCACACAGATAAGTTGCTCTTAAACTTTTAAAGAGTTCTTTGTAGAAGTTTCATCAGTATTCCACAGATTCCAGGAAATAATATTATCCTTCTTTCTATTCCCAGCCTAGTCATCCTAAAGAAAAGGCATGGTAAATATTGGCTATCAGGAAAGAAAGAAAGAAAAAAAAAAACATACAGAATACAGAGCCCTCATTCGTAACTTAAATATATTCACTCCAAAGGGGGATTCTTTTATGAGAAGTTTCTTTCCAATTAGGCAACAAGGAAGAGCAACACTTGGTAGTTCTGTTCCATGCCATCTTTTGAGTAGTTTTATAACAAACAACAGCAGATGAACCCAGGGATCCTTGGGTGCTTAACTCATTTTTAGGGGTTGAGAACTATGGGGAGCTCAAGGAAAAGTTGAGGGGGGACCTCAGTGCAGGGGGTTGGGTGTGTGGGAGAGTGAGGGTAGAGGATGGAGGGTATAGGAGTCAGGGAAGGGGGTTGTGAGATGGGAGACTCAGGTGGGAGTTCAGGAGTCAGGGCAGTGGGTGCAGAGCTCAGGGCAGGGAATTGCATATGGGGGGCTCAGGATAGGGAGTGGGCAGGGGGTGGTGGCTCTGGGCAAGGGCCTTAGGGGGCTCACTGGAGCCTCCTATGGTGATGACTCCCATGGCACCCAAGGCCTCCCTACTGTAGCAGCAGTGGCTGCCCATGATGTCTGCCCAGGATGTCCACAGAGATCTGAGATGTGCTGGAGCGGAGGGTGTGGGAGGAGGGGGAAGTGGATTGGGCTTCCTCCTGTGGGGCATGTGGGTCAGCCAGGTGGAGAGCAACCATGGTCAGCACCAGCACGGGAACCTTACTCATGGATGGTGACTAGGAACATTCAGAGCCTCTCTCTAAGCTGGACACTTTCTTAACAGTGTGGCCGACCCCGTGTGATCACGCTGCAATTCAACTGTCCCTCCTAGCAGTGACTTCCCTTTTGTGTTTTGGAAAACAATCCCATTCCAGGCACAATCTGTTTTCCTGGAACAACCAACCCCTCACCTTGTTTTAAGTTAGGATAAGAGGAAGCTGCATGCCAAATTTGGTGGTCCTAGCTTTTATCGTTTAGGAGGCGTTCTTGAACAAATGGAGTCACAGATAGGCAAATGGACTCACGGACAGGCAGAAGCACAAAATCTCTAAAATATATTATACAGACACAGCTGAAAATGCTTAAAACCACCTTGCCTTTCCATTTCCATAGTCACAAGCCATGGGCACCAAAATGAGCATTTACCTCACTTGAGCAAGATCTGCAACTAGGAACCAAACATAACAATTAAAGCCACAATAATACTGAACTATATATGATTCATGGATTGTGTCTTATAAGTGCTCCCTTCTGCAGAATTCACACCCTATCCTACCTGCTGCAAAGATACAGTCCAGTGTAAAAAGAAAAATAGTACAGGTACCTCACAATTCAAATTGAGATCACTGCTGTAAATGGGAATGAAGGAAATATGTAATTTCTGAAAAACTACTAGGTCACTAACATTGTAAAATTTTTATAAGTATAACAGTTCCAAAACCTTCGTTAAGTAAATTCATGGGATAATATTAACTTAATTCCAAGACTGCTGGGAACTACTATTAATATTGTTTTTCTATTTAAAACAATATTTTCCCTCTTAATCAAGATATGTATTTTTGAGTGACAAGTAACAGACATTTCAGCTGCTCTCAGCATAAGAAATTATTTGTACAATTTTATAACTATTTTTACTATTTTATAACTTCAATAAACACCTGGGTATTAATAATTTAACAAGTGGCAGACTGCTTTCACCGTCTGCATTTGGAGAAAACAGTCCTGTGTTTTGCCTTGTTAGAAACATATTACTCCATTACACTGACCTTCATTTGTTTCCCCGTAACACTAAAATTCTTTAAAAAGGTAAGTTGAGAGATATTGCCTTTTGGTAAACCACCTAGCGAGAAGTCTACAAACTGGTCTGGCATGTATCATGTACATGTGTCTGTCATGAAAATTTAAGGACAAATCAGCTGCTTCTTGACATATAGGCTGCACAGTATTCAATTCCTATGAAGAAAAATATTCTTTTTTAAAAATAATGGTCACTCCCAAACGCCACCACTCCTCCACTTGCTTCACTTTTTATTATGATGAATTTTAAAAAAAAAGATGGATCAGTTAAAACTACTGCAAAAAACAATTGGCTTTCTGGTGATCATCTCAAGATTAAAAAATAAATTCTCTTTCATTGAAGAGAAAGAAAGCAAAGCTATCAGCAAACACAATGCTATCCTTAGGTGGTGAGAAAACCAAGTTCCTTTTAAAAATTGGCCTGCCTCAGTCTGATTAAAACTGAAACTGAATTGATAAATAAATCTGATGAGAATGACATGAATACAGTGTACTCAGCATGACATTATAAATGTAAACATACCTGAATTGGAGTCAAACTTTGTTTCTGACCTGCAGAGGGAAACAAGGACAATTTACATTATAAGAACTGCTTTTAATAATGGAAACTAGTTGACAAGATGTAAAAAAACCTACCATATTTAAGAAACAGGCATACCTGTTTTAATAATTCACGCATGCAAATTGATTTTAATGCCAAATGATGCTTTTCATATACTTTTATTGGATTTGCACAATGTACAAATACAAGGAAGAGAAATTTTAAAAGAAAAAACACAATATGAAAACAGGATTAAGTTGTATAACTATGAATTACAGCACATATTTGTAGTTATGAAATACACATTGTTCTCATTCATTTTAGTTTTCAAGAAGCCATTAATAGGATTCCATATATTCATGAATGTTTCTAATCTATTTTTGAACCAGATACTCTTTCATTAATATCATATGTATTATATACAAAGATCAGTATTTAGTTGGACGACATCTTAGGAGGGTTTTTTGTGTGTCTTTAATTTATTCACTCTGCAAATAGAAAAAATAGTTCTGTTCTCTTTAACCGTAGTTGAACTGATTTTGATGTCTTAGCAAACATAATGATGTGTACTACAGACACAATTATCCTCTTTGTTGTGTACTACAGCTTTTCATTCTCTCACAAGGAGCATTGTCTTCTAAGTGCTTAGCACATTGCAAATGAACCTAGTAACCTGTACATTTAATAAGAAGGGGAAAAAGTTTAGCCTGTGTGGGAACATTATGTTTCAGATATAGGTTAATAATAGTCGTAAATTCAGAAGCCTTTGAAATTCACAGTTCAGCTGTGGGAAAACGTAAGTTGGGTAATTATTCTCAGGATGCTGCTGAAGTGCTGTCAAGCAGAATTAACCCTACCACTAGGCCTATCTGCACAATCTGCTATAAGACAGCATTGTCTATATCCAGCTCTCAAACCAATTAGCGGACATGCTCCAGTCAGATTGATATCACACAATCAGCTGCTGCCACAGCAAGATACAAGAACTAACCAGCAGGAGTCCTGTTAGAGGAAACTAACCAACAGAAAGCCTTTTGGGGGAAAATACATTTTAACCAAGAGCGAAATAACATTTGGTTCTTTTAACCAGTGACAGGGTGTTTGGGTGGCTTTGGAAGTTATAACCTTGCTTTATGAAAAAAAACTAAAGTACAGGAACAACACAGAGCTATTTCTTTGAGGGGGGGCTTTGATATGTCTAAAATAGTGTAAAGATATTCATATGGTGAGACTCTACAAGAGCAAATTAATGTCTATCCTCTACATTTAAGAAAATTTGACATATTTCCACAGAGAATATTAATGGAAGAATAGGCGAAAACAAGAGAAAGGGAGATGTGTTAAACACTCAAAAAGGAAGCTAGAAATGTACCTGCCCTTTCCCTTCCCATTTTTCCCCTTCTTCCACAGTTTAAATGAAAAGCTCAGTTTGGTCAAAGGATGCAACGGAAAAGAAAATACCTATTCAATGATATTTTCAGAGACTTACAGCAGATACACATTCTAATTCATTTTTACCAAGAGCTAACAGAAGCATTAAACAAAGAAAACCTGTAATTCATATATATTCAAAATTAAGACAACAGAGAAAGCTGCACACTTATCATTCTATTTTAGTTCCTTTTTCATATTGGAGGGTTCTTGCAAATGTTTCTGCATGTGACTTACAATGTGTATTCCCACTGAGTTTACACCAAGAGAAAAAGTACAGAGCTGATCCAGAGAGACCCAGTATATTTTGTTTAATATACTCTCACCAAGTTAGACTATATGAAGCTCAATCCTGCTTATCACCATATTATCTGAACACCTCAGATGCCTGGACTTAATGAGCATCAGTACAATTAATATGAATATGGGACACAAGATAACAGCAAGGTTTTCCTATGGCTGGCAGGGGCTAAGTGCCCCCTACATGGCATACTTCCTGGGCAACTTCTCTTTAAAAGGGCCAGGATTCCAAAAGCCAAGAAGGGAGACAGCTTCAATGAAGTTCTCTGGTTTCTCACCAGTTTAATTTGGATGAATTTTGCAGAAAGAGAAAACTAGTTTCAGAACTCTTGCTATCAAAAATAGCCAATCACTTTTCACTCTCATTAACAACAGCTAGATGCGATACAGATCTTTTCTCTCTTTAGCTCTATCCTGCTGTTAATTTTATGGCAATAAACATGCTATTTCACCTGTGTTTGTTTATCCCTACTGATTGGGCTGCTTCAGGCTTCCTTTTTCCTTTTGTGAAACAGCTTTTACTGAACGGCATTACGCAGCCTGGCCATTCCAATGGCATCTCGATATGGGGTGTCATATGCTAGAAACAGGAACAGATTTTTTTTTTGATTGGGCTGGAGACTAGCCATTCACCTTGTCATGTGAAATGCAACACACCAAGAGACTTGCTGCAACAACTACTAAGCCAGAAAGTAGTTGGGGGAGGAGGTTGGTAAGGGTCACTGAGCAATGTAATGAGTACTAGAGCTCTAAATAGTCATAAATTACAGGACAGCAAACCAGGAAACTGATCTGGGGTAAGAAATGAATAGAACTTAACGTCTGGCAGTAGCTATGAAAGCAAACAGAACACTGGGATGTTGCCATAGAAATCATTTAATAAGAGAACATTATACCACACAGAGAGGGCTAAAGAGACCAAAACTTGGAGTACTGGGCAACATTTAGGATCCAGTATTACAGAAATAGTACTGAAGAATTCAAAACCGGAAAAATGGTTAAGGACCACGAAGTGTCTCTGACACTAAAACTAAGCAATGACTTAGAGGAAAGAATAAAAGAGCAATCTCCAGGATTTGAAGGATTCAAACACCAAGGAAAAAGATTTAAGATGTTTTTGTTTTGAGTGACTGAATGCAACATGGCTAGAATTTAGGGATAAAATGCCATTTGAAGGCAATAGCAAAGCTTCCAGTGACTTCAGGATTTCATCCTAGACTTCAAAGTCATTTTATTTTTCCCCTTACAATAGAGTAGATTAACATTTGAGAAGCTAGGTCCATACGGTCATTAATAGGGTTGCCAGGTGTCCGGTTTTGAACCGGACAGTTCAGTATTTGAGCTTTCTGTTTGGGAAACAAATTAAGAAAATATAAATGAGAAAATAGAAATGTCCGGTATTTTCTAAGTAAGATGTAATGTCAATTGTGAGGTAATGTCAAGTGTTTCTGGTATTTTTGTTGAAACTATCTGGCAACCCTAGTCATTAAAACTGTGAATAAGGAAACACCAATATCAAAGAGAGTATCAAACAAATTCCTGGAAATAAGCTCTAAGGAGAACATGCTCTGTTAAAAAGAAAAATATTCCCTATGACTTCATTACGTTAACATTTCTAAATTCTATTAAGTAGCAGGAAGGACTTTGTGAGGGAACACAGAAAGGAGGGCCCAGTGTACAGGAGTTAAGGCAAGTCTCGGAAAAACATTCTCCATGGGCCGGATCAGGCCTGCCATGCCACTGCTTTAGACCATGGATACAGGCAGGGAGCCTCAGGCAGACTCCCCTGCTTGCCCCATCCCCATACGGCATTCAGAAAAGCAACTGGGCCCAATTACTTACCTGCAACCAGTGCTAGGCTTAGAAACAATAGAAAAAGGAAGGAGTCTGGCTCAGTTTGGGGCTGATTAGCGAGGAGGCAGGAGCCAGGTTCAGCAATATAAAGCCATGTCTATGATTACTCGGAAGTTCAAATTAAGATTCGCATCTCCAGCTATGTTAATTGCATAAACTTTGCTTCAGACTGTGGCTGTGAGCTGGGAGACACTAGTCAATTCCTTTGACTTTCTTTTGACATCTTTTCTGTACTATATCTCTCTTGCATAGGCTGTCCACTCTTATACTTTACAAAAAAAACAAGCACATTGCTGATGTTTAATAAATATTTCGCTATAGTTTTTCTTTTGTGGAAGTGACTTCAGAGTAAAAATTCCCATTGAGGACAGATGGATCATTCTAAACACCTTCTGCCATGGCTACTGAGAAAAAACACATTTTTGAATGGTAAACTAAATTCTCTGAAAAAAATCAAGCTAAGAGTATAACACTTCAAATTCTTGGTCTTCAAAAACAGCAGATTGGATTTTGTCATTCATCATTTCTAGAGTCAATTAATGGAACAGGTGTTCTTGTTTTCTGTGAATTGCCATGAGGTGACAGATTCCAAAGATCCTGCAATCTAAATAGACATGGCATAGCAAAAGATTACAGTAAGCAAGTATAGTGCAGAAGGTATTAGAGGCAGAGGTTTATAAAAGTGAGTTATTAAGACTTATTCATTGTTTGTCTTACACATCCCTTTTCTTAGATATATTCCAAAGTGAAAGAATGTCTGAAGTGAAGCTACAGTGAAGTCCAAGAATGCAACAATTGTATTTAAAAGGAATAGTATTGTTTAGTAAGTTTGAGCCACCCTCTGTCTGTGGAAAAAGCTAAAGCACGTTCTTCATAAAGCTGTGGTGATATCAGCAATTTAAATGAAGAGAGATCTTGAGTTTTTAATTGTTTCTTTTTATCTCTTCTACTGAGAGATAGAATTCTATCTTAAGCATGCAGCAAAAAAATAAAATAAAAAATAAAAACAAACCAGGCCTTTCATCTGGAGCATAAAATTCATGGGTTCTCTGACCCTGCGTGTCACATAGTAATGAAACAGTGTAAATCAGACATGTTAAAAGTTGAAGTTTGTTAATATTAGTACTGAAGCGTCAGTCTCCTTCCTGGCTAAACTAACAGGTCCATAGGTCAAAGATATGTATTTAAAGATTACAATGATGCAAAGAAAAAATTAATGGGTACCCAGCAGGAACCAAATGGAAATATGTGGGTTTCAAATGAAGAGCTAGAAAAAAAAATCGTATTTGCCTACAATTTCAGATAGCATTATGGAGTTTCTTCTTTTCACTAGTCGTTCTCCCCTTGGAGACTTTACTGGCAATTTAGCCTCTGTGTGGGGACATTTATTGACTAGCATAGATTTTCTATTTTCATAGTTATATAC